TCATTGTTTCTCTTGTGAACCCTAATATACTCCCATTAACTCCTATTCATCCTTTGAGCCTCAGCTTAGATGACACTTTATCCAGGAAGCTTCCACTGACTTTCCAAGACTGAGTGAGATATCTCTCAATTGCATTTCCACAGCACCTTGTCCTACTTTCATTTTAACTCCTATTCTAGTGCACATGTTATAATTCTTGTTGCTGACTTAACTGCTTTTCCCGTCAGGCTGCAAACTCCACGAAAGCTAGCATGTAGTCTATTCTGTTTATATTTGCATCCCTTGAACCTACATCAGAGCCGGGCACACAGTATGTGCTCAATAAATCCTAATTTTTCTGACTGAAGTGAACAGACAACCTAAAGTATGAGTCACCTTTTAGCAGAAACATTAAGAATACTACTAGGAAAGAGGATGCTTGCTAAGGAAAATATTTCAGTCAGATGTGCAAGTCAGACTGTGCTCTCACAGTACCAAGAACTGACTATTAATGCCTTGGCAATTTGCTAACTTCTCTGCTTCCTAGAAGTCCACATATTTTGGATGTTTTTTGGTAAAAGCTGTGAAACAAAATAAATCTCTGTGTATGTATTTGAGAACTTCCTGAGTTTCACTCAGTTTCTTCTTGCCAGACCGACATGGCTTCAAACCCTTGGTTTGGGTCCTCTGGGTTTTGTTGTGACTTTCCATACCCTCCACCCATGAATGGCCCTGAAGGTGAAATCCCCCCCCCCCCCCCCCCCGGGACAGTGTCAAGAAAAAGAGCTGTCGTGAGAAGTGCATCTGTGGGGGCGCCTGGGTGGCTCAGTCGTTGAGCGTCTGCCTTCGGCTCAGGTCATGATCCCAGGGTCCTGGGATCGAGCCCCGCATCGGGCTCCCTGCTCCTTGGGAGCCTGCTTCTCCCTCTCCCACTCCCCCTGCTTGTGTTCCCTCTCTTGCTGTGTCTCTCTCTGTCAAAATAAATAAATAAAATCTTAAAAAAAAAAAAAAAGAAGTGCATCTGTGCCTGGTGTCGAGACGCAGGAGAAGTGTGAGGCTTTCACTTCTGATTTGTAATCAGTGTTTTGACCTCCCTTTTACCTGACATTTCCAAACTCTGGGCAATGGGCTAAGCTATTTCAGTCATTGTGTTCCTGCACACATCTCTCATTTTCAAACATAGGTAAATAATAGATTCAAAACGCTTTGGACCCTCCCTGGTGTGAGACTACAGGAGGTGCAAAGACCTGGATTCAGGTCTTAACGCCACCATTTCTAAGTTTGTGACTTTGAACGAACCAACGAACCCTCTCGGAACTTCATCTTTCTCCTCTGGAAAGCAAGAATGACACCAGCCTCACTCCTTATTCTCTGCCTTGAGTGTGGGAAGCACCACATAAATGCTAATGTCCTTCCCAAACAGTTCTGCTATTAATGGTACCCATGACCATACACTGGTCCCTATGGAATCTCTGTGGACTGAAATAATTTTCTATGATAATAAATCTCTGTTGTTAGCAGGAGCAGTTGCCGGTCAGTCTCAATATCCATACTCACCCAAGAAGCTAAAGCTTTGGAAGACTCCTATTAAGTGATAGGTAAGTAGTACTCCCATGCTCTGCTCATTCTTGTGGTTGTGGAGAAGGGTAAACCTCATCCCACCCCCATAACTGAATCCCTGACCTCTCTCAGTATTTGAACTGGGGGTCCAGAATTCAGCTGGACCACCATCAGTGGAAACAAAATCATGCAAGGAAGAGGGGATGCAATGCCTAAGGATGGAGAATTTTAAAAAAAATTCTAGAGGTAGTGAAATGTAAGAAGCCAGGGACATGGCCATTTTAGGTTGGCAGTTGGACACTTTATAGATTTAGATTTCCAAACACTGATTCCTTACCTCTACCTAGCACCTACTCCCTATACAGATCTTTCACAGATAGTATCTTCTTTCATCCCTACAACTATCCTGACAGGTTGGCAAATATTACTATAACCATTTTTCAGAAGAAGAAACCACTGAGATTGTGCCTAGATTACACACACTTACGCAGAACGGAGCTGGCATTTCACCTGGGGTTTCTGATTCTAAGACCAGAGCTCTTTCTACCATACTCTGCTGTCCTCTTGCACAGCTGAGGAAGAGGAACCAATCTCAGAGGAAGCATATATTCAGGAACCCCTTCATAGTTCCACAGTGGAAAAAGCACCAGACTTTGGGTGAAAAAGACCTAAGCCTCATTCCCAACCATGAACTCTCGAGATGTCAATTTCCTTACTTCTGCAAAGAACAGGTAGTGATAAACGATTCCAGTCTCCCTCCCATGTTTTCTATTTCTTGAATGTTATCTTTGGTTATTTTAATGTAAAACCCAAATATCTGTCATAAAGAAGAAATGCCCCCCCCCCCCACAAATGGATACATCACAAGTTCAACAGCAATTATGGTGTCTTTGACCCAATATAACCACTATGGCTGAATTTAAAAGTTGGGATCTTCTTTCATGGCATCTTGGAAATAGGCTTCACTAACCTTCAGTTAATCTTTCCACATTTCAGTTTCCTCACGTGAATGAGAGAACAACGTTACCTTCGGTGCAGGAAAAAGGAATTTTCAATTCCTTCCTTCTTGCCATCTTGCCTCTTCCTAGCTTCCTGACCCCAACCGAAGGGAAGAGGACTTGCTAATTTGAGTGGTTGGAGTCTGGGACCAGGACAGGGTTGCTGTCCCTAGGAATGGTTCTCTTTCTTTTCTATTTTATGCAGTTGGGTGGGCACATAGACTAAGCCCTCTCTCATCTTCTCTACCTCCTCTTTGCAATTGCCCAGGGAGATATTTCAAATTATTGGTCATCTTATTTTCTTCGTCATTTGGTTATCTTTACCCCATGCATCCTTCTAGAGTGTACTAAGATCTCAAAATTTAAATTCAGGAAGGAGTAAGAGGTTCTCTTTAGGCCTCAAGGCCTAAGCCTTGTGCTTCTATTCATTTTAAATCAACACCTGTAATGAGGGTTATTGGTTGATGGCTCAGTTAATAAACGGCAATACTTTATTTGACTCATGTCCTCTCCCTATTGCTTTCTAGGGAACTGTAGTAGCCAGTCTCCATGACAGTCCCCAGTGAGCTCCTACTCCTGGTCCTCATACCCTTTTGTAGTTCCCTCCCACACTCTACCAGGGTTGATCTGTGTGACCAATAGAATACAGCATAGATGATGGCACGTAACTTTTGAACCAGTTCTAAAGAACCCCCTGGCTTCTGTCTTGGTTGCTCTCTCTCTCTCTCTCTCTCTCGGATCTTTGCTCTGGGGAAAGCAGCTACCATGTCTTGAGAAGCCCTATGGAGAGGCCTCTGTAATTCCTTTCTAGAACTTACCCCTCCTCTTCTCTTTCTGCCCTCATGCCCTGTGGCAAGTAGCACCCATTATATTTCATTATCCTTGTATGAATGCTTGTCTGAATTTCCCTGGCTCCTTGAGACCAGGAATGGACATTTCTACTTGTCTCTGAATCCTTGGTGCCTAGCACAGTACCTGACACACGGTAGGCTCTCAATAAATATTTTTTGAATAAAAAATGGAAGGAAATTTAGTTTTCTGTTTATAGTCATACCTTATATCTTATTTTTTTCCTTTTGCTCAAGTATCAGTTTTTTAAAAAAAGATTTATTTATTTATTTACTTTAGAGAGAGCATGAGCAGAGGGAGGAGCAGAGGGAGAAGGAGAGAATCCATAGAACATAAAAACATACAAACAATAAATATAAATACATTGATTCATCTAGCATAACTGAGACTTTATACCCATTGAATGACAACTCCTCATTTCCCCCTCCCTCTGGTCCCTGCCAACCACTATTATATTTTCTGTTTCTATAAATTTGACTACTTTAGATGCCTTATGTAAGTGGAATCACACAGTATTTGTCCTTCTGTGTCTGGCTTATTTTGCTTAGCATCATGTCCTCCAGGTCCATCTATGTTGTCACAAGGGGAAGAATTTCCTTCTCCATTAAGGCTGAATAACATTCATATTTTTTTATTTTATTTTATTTTATTTTATTTGAGAGGGGAGGGGCAGAGGGAGAGGGAGCTGGGCGTGGAGCCTGACACGGGGCTCAGTCTCACGACCCTGAGATCATGATCTGCAGCAAAGTCAAGAGTTGGACGCTTAACCAACTAAGCCACCCAGGTGCCCCTAACATTCCCATTTTAAATGGCAAAAGTGTAAAGTCTGAATGTTTTTCAGTAGAAGCCAAATGTAGCAGTCTATACTAGATTTCATAGACATTTAAAATCTCCAAATAAGTCTGTGTGTGGAAGTAAAAGACAAGTCTAAGAAATCTCTTGAACTTAAATAAGGGTTTCCGTTCTGTCTCCAAATTTGGACTCATGTTTTTAGTTCCAGTGTGTACCATAGAGTTAATTCCTTCTTCACAATGGAGAACGTTATTTTTTCCCTTCTTTATCCATAGGCCTAATTAAGTTATATCCAGTGTTTATCAAATTATACTTACTAGGCTAAACATTTTGGCTTCAAAGATGTATTAATTCCAAGTCCCTTACTGTTGCCACTTGGGTCTCTTTTTACTCAATTACATAGTCTCCTGAGATTAGCAGATGTTAATTCCAAAGACTGAGTAGACCTCTAAGAAGTGAGAAGATGGAGGGGAAACCACAGAGGCCAGTCTGACATTTTGTTTGTCTCCTAAATCTAGATTCTTAGAATTGAGCTAACATTGAGCCAAAGGCCCCAGGAAATCAACTTCCATCTTTCTGTGCACTCCTTCCCCTTCCCTCAAAGACAAAGGAGTCTTCACATGTTGATCAGTTGATTTACAGGTGGGTACTGCAAAGTTCAAAATCTCTAACTCAGAAAAATGCACAATTTGTTTTAAAGATGGATTAAGAAGGGCACCTGGGTGGCTCAGTCGGTTAAGCGACTGCCTTCGGCTCAGGTCATGATCCTGGAGTCCCTGGATCGAGTCCCGCATCGGGCTCCCTGCTCGGCAGGGAGTCTGCTTCTCCCTCTGACCCTCCCCCCTCTCATGTGCTCTCTCTCTCATTCTCTCTCTGTCAAATAATTAAAAAAAAAAAAAAAAAAAGATGGATTAAGAAGAAAAATGGGGAGTTATCAGAAGGGAGAGGCATAAATAAACATATTCATGATGAATCTAAGAAAGTTCTGAAAGGAGTCAAACCTCTATATGCAAATTTAGGTGAGTGTGTGTGTGTGTGTGTGTGTGTGTGTGTGCGCGCGCGCGCGCTTGCGTACTATACCACTTCTTCGGTATACGGTGAAGTGTACTCTTATCTTCCCGGGATGGTCTCCTAGGGAGCCATTTTACCAGAGCGCACAGTTCCATTTATCCAATTTCTGAGGATTAGTCTCAGGGGTAACTTTATTTAGTACATATTGGCTACAATACAAAGCTTCTCTAGTTAAATCAAACATCCAAATTATGATGCAGTAAGACAAACAGTACCTTCTTTTCTGCACATGCCAGCGTCTGTGAATGCAGGGTGGACTATTACTTTAGTAATGAGAGATTCAATTCTTTTGAAAGTCTTACCCCCCTTCCTCTTCCTAGATGATTCTGGGATTTAGACGTGCAACAAACAAAAAGAAGAGGAGAAAAACACTTTTTCTTGGAAGCCACGAAAGACAAGTTTCCCTTTTTTTGAGCACTGCAGAACACACGTAAGAGAGGACACTGTCTCTAAAGAGCTCTGACATATTCATCAGCCATGATGTTAAAAGAGAACAGCCACAGAACCATTGTTGCTGCCAAAAAAGTGCTGTTTGAATCCTTTTCCACTTCCTCTTTGCAAGATGACTTGGGCTTCATTAAATCATCACTGGAAGACAAGATCTCTGTGGCTTTGGGGCAGACGGGCCAACGGATTGACTTTGTCACCTCATGTGGTATGAGTATCAGATGTTGACGATGCAGCGACTGGTTAAAATGATAATCATCTAAAGAAAAGTCATGAATAGTGTTTATACTTTCTTGGAACTGGGAGTTAGCTTCCTTGGGCCCTTTCCTCCTCGCCCCCAGCTTCAAAACAGAAATTGCTAAATATTCAATTTGGTGTTTGCCTAAGGGTGGCTAAACAAGTCACCTAGTGAGGTGCTTGTCCTTATTTCTGGGAAGGCAGCCTATTACTCAGTTTGGTTCTAACAAAAACAAAGTAAGGGAGAGGGGACTTATCAACAGAGGTCAACTAGAATCAATACTGACTCTGAAAATAGGGTTTTTCTATAAAAGCTACGGAGCAATGGAAAGGCATAAAAGATCTTCTGGGTTCCAAAGGAGACCTAAAGACTCCACATGCCTGGTTGGTCTCCAGATAACAGAGAGCAAAACAAAATTTGTAGCGTATTCATAAAAGCTTCTTCTTTCAAAGCATAGCTTGGGAGAAGGGTGGTCAGGATGTATGAGGGATGGTGTGGGGATCAGATGCTCTTCTGTTCTTATGCTCTGAAAGTGGCACATTCTCTACCATATTTTTAAAGTCACAGTTGTTAACGTGATCATGAATGATGTTAGAAGAAGCAGAATGAAAGAGCAAGATGTCAAGTTGCACAGTATCACCCCTAGACTTGCTCCCTAACATTAGAATCTGATGAGAACTCTGTAACTTCTCCCCGCAATCTCCAGAGACCCCAATGCCAGAGCCACAGCCAGTAAAAGAATAATTCTATTCAAAGCCTTCCTATGGAGTGTGGAAACTATCTATTTTGCTCCTAGGTTGTAGAGTATCTGAACTCACTCAGCCATCTCTCCTCCACTTGAAGAAAAGAAAGGTGATTAGTTTAGGATGGTGGACTGAGCCAACATGGCTACTTCTCCTTCCTCTCAAATCCCAGTAAAATAGGATACATAAAATAAGACTAAGTCCTAGGCATTCCCTAGAAAATGCCGGCTGAGTAAAAATGGAAGAATTTCTGGGTGGTAGCAGACTCACAAAAATACCAGAGAGCTGAGAAACACAACTGAAGAAGGGGGCTGCTGGATGAGTAATTCTTCAGCCTGTAAGCTTCCTCAGGACAAGTAATCCTGGGTCTTATTCATTACTGTGTCCTCTCTGCTTTGTATAGCTCCTGGCACAGAGCAGGTATTCAGTAGTGACTGTTAATATGACTGTATGGCTTTCCTAAAACAAAGGTAAGTTCAAGGTCAGCAGGAGGGACCTTGTGGGATGCTTGATTGGGACCCCTCCCCCAGGGTGCACAGAGAAGAGTAATTATGGTGTTTGCCCCAGGCTCTTTGAGTAAAGTAAAGGACCAGCCATAGGAACTCATAGAATGAGGATCAGGGCCAGAGAGAACAGAAGGGCATGGGGTACAAGTTACTGAACTGTTAATTAAGGAAAGGCAACTTGGAATAGGTGTGAAAGCTCCTGAGGTGCCCAAAGAGGGTAACTTTCCCTACTCACTTATTTAAAAAGTGCCACCAACCTGCTGGCCTATCCCCCTGCCCATTAACCTTAGAGCACAGCACATCTGCCACAGTCGGTCATCCCATATGGAGGGCAGGCCTAGCAAGGGATGTTGAAATGTAACCTTGACAATTGCCCAGGAAGTGATACCGGTTATCAATACTGATCAATTTGCATATGAAAATGAACAACCAGAATTGCCAGACTTTTTGACCAAACCCAAGACCTAAAAACTGAATCAGTAGCAAACTGACCTCTGAGGAAAAGGCAAATGCAGCAAGCCAAAGAGAGCTATGAAAATATTTTATTTAGTGTCTGAGATACATGGATATTGCATCATAAAATAAGAGGAAGCTACCATAGAAAAAACAGCAATCAGAGAAAAATAGAGGCATCTAAAAAATTAAAAATTTGATTAATAAATCATAAAACTGAATGTCAGGGATGAGTTACAGAATAGATACAACTGAAAAGAAAACTAGTGATTTGGAAGATCAAATCAAGGTATGTCCCCCCGAATACAAAGCAAAAAGTCAGGGAAAGAAATTATAAGGAAAAAAAATGCAGAAAATTCCAAAGGAAAAAAATCTGTTTAATAGGAATTTAAGACATCATAGATAGGATGACAGGAAGCCGTTAATAGAAAAATACTCTCCCAGGCTAAATAAGTACTCAAATTCTTTGGGTAAAATTTTAAAAACCAGCAATTCTGGTCCTGCTATCTCAGCAAGAATACTGAAAGGAGAGGTACACAGATATATTCCACTGATATTTATGAATTCAAAAATTAAAGAGAAAATCCAGAGCGCCTGGGTGGCTCAGTCAGTTAAGCGGCTGCCTTTGGCTCAGGTCATGATCCTGGAATCCTGGGATCGAGCCCTGCTTCAGGCTCCCTACTCAGCGAGGAGTCTGCTTCTCCTTCTGCCCCTTCCCCATCTTGTGCTCTCTCTTTCTCTCTCTCTTTCAAGTAAATAAATAAAACCTTTAAAAAAATTAAAGAGAAAATCCTTGGTACTCAATGGTGGGGTAGGATGGAAATAGTTTCCTATAAGGACACAAGGTAATAAACATTTCATTTTTACTACTGAATATTGGACAACATTGAAATGTCTACATACTTTGAAGAAATACAATTTTGAGTCTACCAGCTATACTAGCTTTTAAGTGAGTGGGCAAAATAAAGACATTTTGCATGTGCAAGGATTCAGAATACATACCACAATGGAAGTAAAAAGCTTTCTGGAACATTTCAGTTACAACTAAGTTAAATTCATTTCTTCAGTTGAAAAACCATTAGCTGCTAGAATTACTTACCCTCCATTCAGAAAGTTTTACCATACATATGTGATTGGAAGAACAAGAAAGGCTATCAGTGGTGTAATTTAAACTTAAATGAAGTTTAATAAATCTAGACAAAGAGGCAAAGAATCTGTACTCAGAAAACTATAAAATACTCATGAAAGAAATTGAGGAAGACACAAAGAAATGGAAAAGCATTCCATGCTCATGGATTGGAAGAACAAATATTGTGAAGATGTCAATGCTACCTAGAGCAATCTACACATTCAATGCAATCTCCAACAAAATACCATCAACTTTTTTCAAAGAAATGGAACAAATAATCCTAAAATTTGTATGGAACCAGAAAAGACCTCGAATAGCCAGAGGAATGTTGAAAAAGAAAACCAAAGCTGGTGGCATCACAATTCCGGACTTCATTACAAATCTGTCATCATCAAGACAGTATGGTACTGGCACAAAAACAGACACATCGATCAATGGAACAGAATAGAGAGCCCAGAAATGGACCCTCAACTCTATGGTCAACTAATCTTCGACAAAGCAGGAAAGAATGTCCAATGGAAAAAAGACAGTCTCTTCAACAAATGGTGTTGGGAAAATTGGACAGCCACATGCAGGAGAATGAAACTGGACCATTTCCTTACACCACACACAAAAATAGACAAAATGGTTGAAAGACCTAAATGTGAGACAGGAGTCCATCAACATCGTAAAGGAGAACACAGGCAGCAACCTCTTCAACCTCAGCCGCAGCAACTTCTTCCTAGAAACATCACCAAAGGCAAGGGAAGCAAGGGCAAAAATGAAGACCTCATCAAGATAAAAAGCTTTTGCACAGCAAAAGAAACAGTCAACAAAACCAAAAGACAACCGACAGAATGGGAGAAGATATTTGCAAATGACATATCCAATAAAGGGCTAGTATCCAAAATCTATAAAGAACTTATCAAACTCAACATCAAAGAACAAATAATTCTTTTCAATTCAATATATACAATTTTATATATTGTATATATACAATATATATATTGTGTGTATGTATACACACACACACACACACACACAACAGAATATTATGCAGCCATCAAAAAGAATGAAATCTTGCCATTTGCAATGACGTGCTGGAACTGGAGGGCATTATGCTGAGCGAAATAAGTCAATCAGAGAAAGACATGTATCATATGACCTCACTGATATGATGAATTCTTAATCTCAGGAAACAAACTGAGGGTTGCTGGAGTGGTGGAGGGTGGGAGGGATGAGGTGGCTGGGTGATAGACACTGGGGAGGGTATGTACTATGGTGAGCGCTGTGAAGTGTGCAAGACTGTTGAATCACAGATCTGTACCTCTGAAGCAAATAATACATTATATGTTAAAAAAAAAAGAAGAAGAAGAAGAAGATAGCAGAAGGGGAAGAATGAAGGGGGGGAGTCAGAGGGGGAGATGAACCATGAGAGACTATGGACTCTGAAAAACAAACTGAGGGTTCTAGAGGGGAGGGGGGTGGGAGGATGGGTTAGCCTGGTGATGGGTATTAAAGAGGGCACGTTCTGCACGGAGCACTGGGTGTTATATGCAAACAATGAATCATGGAACACTACATCAAAAACTAATGATGCAATATATGGTGAATAACATAACATAATAAAAATAAATAAATAAATAAGTAAATTAAAAAAAAACTTAAATGAATTTTAACAGGCATATATTTCATGAACAAAAATGACTTCCAGAAAAATAAATAAATAAATAAATAATTCACATAAGGCTTAAAAATAAATAGGAAGATTTGTATCAAATTTATTTGTATACAATAGGAAAACTCAAAGCAATAGTGGCTTGAACAAAAGAGGTTGTTTCTCACATAAAATAAGCCTAATGGGTAGTTTAGGACTGGTATAAAAGGAATAGTGTTCTGTTCTGTCATCCCCTAACTTTCTGTTCTGTCATCTTCAAGCCTGAATGACCTGCTTCAAGTCATCCAATAGCCCAAAAGGGCTGCTGGAATTCCACCCATCATTTCCACATTCCAGACAGTCACAAGGGCAAATGGGCACTCACAACTGAGGTAATATCTTTTATAGAGGATCCTTGGATCCCATTCAACACCTCTACTTACCTCTCATTAGCCAGAACTTTGTCACATGCTCATACTTAGGGCAAGAGAAGCTGAAAATTTAGTCCTTTATTTTTTATGGCAATGTAGGCTGAGGTGAAAATCAGGGCTCTG